GCCTGCAGCGCTCGCCTGCAGCGCTCGCCTGCAGCGCTCGGCCCTCCCACAGCTTTTCCTCCCGTTGAGCTGCAGCAGATCTGAGTCCATCTGAGACGTCGCTCATATAAATGACTCCATTTAAGAGAATACGAAGTCTTTAGAGTTTGTTCTTTTCTTTATTTTCTGTCGTGTCTCTCCGGCTCACGAGTAAGTGTTCATAATAAACACATTTCTGTGAATCCTCCTGAGCCACAGGATCTACATGATGTCATTAGGAACAGGCATTCTTACGTGGTCGCACAGCCCCGCCTACCGCTCTGCATATTTTCCTGGGTAATAACGATGTCATCACAGCATGTTTGTGTGTCTCAGAGGACTCTGATTACCAAACAGAGACTTCCTGTTTGGTTTAGTTACCAAACAGGCTGCAGCTCTTTGATTCCAGACGTCACGTTGTGCCGCATGCCATTTACAGCGCTGCCGCCATGTTGCTTTTGTGGAGCCAGAGGTGACCAGATGATGCAAACAGACATGTATCTGTGTCCAAACAGTGAAACTGGAGCTGCTGTTAGTACAGCAGCGATGTTATTGGTCACATGACATCGTTAAACTGCTCCAACAGCACAGACACTGCTCAGAGGTCCTGTTAGCAGACACCTGTGTCACCAACCACCTGTCAGTCAAAGAGGCCACGCCCCCAGTTTGCAAACTTTAAGCCTTATTAAAATTTAAGCAGACTGACTCACTGCTGGAGCCCCTGCTGGATGCTAGAGGTACTGCAGCTGGCTCAGAGCGGAGGAGTTTGGGCTCAGTAATCATGAGCAGGTGGAGGAGGCTCCACAGCAATAACCAGGTTTCCTTTATTACTTATAAATGAGCCTCAGTCATTTGTGAAGTTTTAGATTCAAATAAATATTCGAAAGCCTCGTCCCTGTAAAACCTGTGCTCACGTCAGGAAGGGGGCGTGTCCAGTGTGCGGGAGGGTTTACTGCTCATCCAGACTGCGGGCTCCGTCTATCCACACGTGCCCACTTGTCTCTGTGTTTCTGTGTGTGCAGGCGACTGGATTCCAACTCCTTGAACTGTGACTGCGAGCTGCTGTGGCTGGCCGACCTGCTGAAGCAGTACGCCGAGTCGGGCAACGCTCAGGCTGCTGCCACCTGCGACTACCCGAGCCGCCTGCAGGGCAGATCGGTGGCGACGCTCACCGCTGAGGAGCTCAACTGCGGTACTGAGAACATCACCGAGCGTAGCTTTACTGGCATTGATGACAGAGTCAGCTGTGTGTTCAGTTTTACACGTCGTAAATGGCCCACCTGTCAGAGGCCACGCCCCTAATAATGAGTTATAGAAACAGTCTCCCCCCATCGACTGGCTATAAAGTGGAGAAGTTACAGCTGTTTAACAGCAGCTGGACGTGCAGCTTTTATTCCTGGTTTCCTGAACGTCTCCTCTCGTCTCTGCTGACCAAAGGAAGCAGAAAGCTTCAAGACTTTGGAGCCTAACAGGAAGTCATGCGTTACACACATCCACTTATTTTTATAGCCAAACTCTGCAAACTCTCAGACAGCCCCCCCAGCCCCCCTCCCTGCAGGTAAGCTGAGACACACACAGGTGTATCCTCTCTTTGTGTCTGCAGCCCCCACTTCCATTCTTCACACACCACAAACAGTCTGAGGGCGAAGGGAGCTCAACGTGTCTGTGGGCCTGCGTCAGCCCACCAGCAGCTGCTGAGATGGGCTGATAGCTGTGTGTGTGTGTGTGTGTGTGTGTGTGTGTGTGTG